GCACGGGGGAGGTGGGTAGGGGGATGGGTTAAATAGAGAATGGGTATTGAGAAGTGCAGTTGTGATGAACACTGACTGATACATGGAAGTATTGAATCATTACATTGTAACCTGAAACTATATTACACGGTATGCTAACTAACTTGAATTTAAATAAAAACTTAAAAAAACCCTACCGTCTTTATGTGTATAAATGCAAATTTTTAAAACAATTTAAGACTGCCTCTTTGCTCTAGAGTTTCCCTGTGAGCCCCATGAGGGCTTCTACTCCATGAAGGCTTCCCTTCCAGACCCATCAATGGGGTCTCCTGATGCTGCTGGAGGCCAGTCCTCATACCCAACTGTTCAGGATTCTGAATCAGAAGGCCCACAGCCCATCTGTAGGAGAAATTTCTCACTGGCTTGCAGGTCCTGTGGTGCAGCTTCTTGCTCTCCTCCGCCACCAAACCCACTCCACTTGCCTCTCCACTGATGGGTCCTGATTACATCGCTGCCGCTCAGACTTCTCCAGGTGTTTTCATCCAGCATAAGTCCTGGACTCACCCTCCCCATGCAAAAACTGGTGAGAGCCCCACCCTGGGTTTGCAGACAAGCTCGGGCAATGTGAACATTTTCACAATGACAACTGAACCCCAGTGTTCTGTCTTATGCAGCCTGGAAGCCATGCTACCGACCCAATAGGACTCTAGTGAGGTTTTCATGGTATGACCCAGGCGAAGCTCTGGGCAGGCCTCCTGGTAACCTCTGGTGAATCCTCTTTGGTCTTATTAGGATCTCTGAGGAAGACTTTCCTCTGACTCTTCTTACTCCCTCCAATTCTTATCACAGTGTAGGAAGGCCCCATTTCTGTGAGTCTGTCTGAGCTGGGTCTTTGCTTGGCATTTCTTGATTAATCTTCCCCAAGCTCTATTAGATAAGAGATATTATTATTCCTGTAACAGATGAAGATGTTTCACAGATGTGATCTGTGAGCATGTCACAGATAAGAAATAAGCTTGACAGTCTGGAAAACAGTATGGAGGTTCCTCAAAAAATTAAAAATAGAACTATACTATGACCCAGCAATTGCACTACTAGGTGTTTACCCAAAGGATACAAACAGTGATTTGAAGGGGCACATGAACCCCAGTGTTTATAGTAGCAATGTCCACGATAGCTAAAATATGGAAAGAACACAGATGTCCATTGACAGATGAATGGATAAAGAAGATGTGATATATATATATATATATATATATATATATATATATATATATATATAATGAATACTACTCAGTCATCAAAAAAATGAAATCTTAGCCATGACATGGATGGAACTAGAGGGTATTATGCTAAGCAAAGTAAGTCAATCAGAGAAAGACAATTATAGGATTTCACTCAAATGTGGAATTTAAGAAACGGAACAGAGGAGCATAAAGGGAGGGAGAGAAAAATAAAACAAGACAAAATTAGAGAGGGAGACAAACCATGAGACTCTTAACCATAGGAAACAAACTGAGGGCTCACTGAACTCTACCTTTAAAACTAATAATACACTATATGTTAATTAATTGAATTTAAATAAAATAAAATAAAAAAGACGGGAGGCAAATCATAAGATACTCTTAACTATAAGGAACAAACTGAGGGTTGCTGGAGGGAGGTGATTGGGGGGATGGGCTAAATGTGTGATGGGCAATAAGGAGGGCACTTGTTTGGATGAGCACTGGGTGTTATATGGAACTGATGAATCACTAAATTCTACCCCTGTAACTAATAATACACTATATATTAACTAAATTGAATTTAAATAAATAATAAGAAGAAACAAGCTTGAAATTACAAAGCAATGTTGGAGGATCCAAGATTTACTCCAATAATGTGATTTTCTGTTTCTACCTGGGTAGGAGGGGAGGATGATCCTAGTTAATGTTGAATCTCCAGCTCCAGGGGCTGAGGGATGGCTGGATGCTGAGATGCTGCTCTTGGGGATGTGGGTCCACTTATTGCTATCAATTGCCACTTACCTCTCCCTGGATGTATCCTTCTTAATTTGGGGAGAGAATGGAAATCACAGTCCACTCTCAGCTCCCATCCTCAAAACACATTAAGGAAAACTCACTGCTTTGCAAGTATGAGGAAAAATCCTACAATGTTTCCCTACCTCTTAGAAACCGTTGCAGGGAACTTGACCCCCCTTGGGAGATAGACGCATTATGAAATGATCAGGAGATGCAGGGAGTTCAGAGGGAGGGAAGCTCGTGGAATATGATGTAATCACCATCCCATCTGCTTGGGGACCAGAATCCCTTGAGGCCTGTGCCCACAAAGTCTTCAGGGTCTTCCACCAGGAGCCCCTGTGACAAATTCAAGGTACAATATGTCAGTAAGGATGGTGCCTCCTCCTGTAGGGAGTGGAGGTGCCCTGAGCTTGGTAAGGGGGTGAATGACATGGTGGGGCAGAACATGCTTGGATAAAGCTGGCTAAAAGCCAAAAAGATGGAGCCCTGGCCTGGATCAGGCTGGAGGGACACTTTGGAATGAGAATACCTAAGAGTAGCCCTCCCTGGCCCTTATACTCAAAGCCTTCTTTAAGACCTCTCTTGACCTTTCCCAACAATAGCCCAAGTTCTTGTTTGTGGGGGACATAGAGGTTCCTGGAGGCCTTACCTGCCATCATGACCCTAGGGAGACAATCTTCTGGATGAGTTCCAGGCTCACTGACTTGGTTGTGTGAAGGGGTTTCTTCGGCCCCTGAACATGCTATGTATTCTGCTTGCCTGTAAGTTTGCCCCTAGTGTAGGTTGGGGAAGGCCGGATGTCCTTATCAGTGGTCCTGTGGGACCCACGCTAGCCAGACCATAAGAACCGGGCTAGAGCCCATGAATCTTTTTCCTGGTTTGTCTAAATCCCATCACAACCTCCACATGAACCCATCTCACCTTGACTTCCCATGTGCTAGAGTAATTGAAAACAACACTGTCTCTTCAAAAGGTGAAAGTCCCAGAAAGTATTGTGTCATCCCATGTTAGATACTTGGTATCATAAAAACACACATACAGGTCTTGGCACTCTCAGTAAATAATTTCTTAGGCTCTGCCTAGTGCTCTTAGTGCCCAACAGGTATGGGACACATTTCTGTTAAATGAATGAAACACAATATATCATCGCATATCTTACACTTACTGGTTGACAGATAAATTAACTTTGCTTCCTAAATCTGAAATGCTGAAGCCAGCTCTCCCATAGCCTTTTGGAAAGCAAGTAGGGGCCGGGGCAGAGTATAAGCCTCCCACTTCAGGGTGGCTATGGGAGGTAAGCACAAACCTACAATCTTCCAGAACATTTCTGTGACTATGTCTGACCCAACCATGTACTTTGCACATGTCTCCTCACCAGAGCACCTGTGCTGGACCCTATTGGAGGGAATGACTGAGGCCCTACAGCACAAGCCACAGCTCCCTGTTTCCCACTACCTGCTCATCTGGTACCTGCCTTGTACCTGGTGCTAGACAACCCTGCATGTGGGATCCTCTCAGGGTCCTTTAAGATAGCACTATGCCCATGTGTCACTGCCAGGCCAGGCTGGGACAAGGGTAACTCCATGAGAGGTTGCAGGTCTTCCAGGAGTGGTCAGTGTGCAAGTGTTGGTGTGTGTGTGTGTGTGTGTGTGTGAGCCTCCAAGACATTGAAGCTCAGAGCACTAACCCAGAAGTTGAGGAGAGGCCATCAGAAATGAGCCTGGGATGGAAGTGGCCCTAGGCTCACTTTTTTGCAGGTCATACTCAAGTTATACCTCTGATCTTCCCTATCTGAACAGGGTTTGAGGGTCCCTGAATAAAGAAACATAGGCTTTTATGGAGGGAGCCCAGGGAGCAGATTCAACTAGAGAGGGCAGTTGTGCTTGCAGGGAGAAACAGACCCTGTGAGCAGATCTTTCAAAGTCTTCTAAAGGAGACCAGCAGTGAGAGATGCATGTCATAAAGGAACTAAGTACCCACTCAGCACACATGCATTCACATACATGTATATACCTGAAGAAAGATTTTACCAACAATTTCCCTACCCTCCATTTTGATCTACTGCATCTATTCCAATGGGTAAATTTTTTGAACTCTTGTTATAATGCACCAAATAGATTTCATGATCTAAGAAGCAGAATGAAAAACACTCATTAGTGGATTTCCCATGCAAGGTCCTATATAGTTCATGTCATGCCCAATTATCTTGAACCATGAAGCAGGGATCAGCCTTGGCCCAGAATAGAAATCTGAGGCATCAAGGACTTTTGTGAGTTTGAACCCAATGTGGATCAAGCCCCACATTCCCCCCCCATTTTATCATCACAGGGAAAGGGTGAGGAAAAAATATACATATTGTTTTATTCTAGGGAAGTATAATAAACATCTGCATCATCAATGGGCATAAAGCACAAAATGATCTGGTCTGGGAAGAGAGTATTTCAAGAGTCCACCTCACTGACATCATCTGTAAAGGTTGGAGTTGGTGTCCAGCAATAGGGGCAGTTTCTTCTATGTAGATACACATGTGCATTGTTATACATTGTCTAAGGTCTGTTAGACACCTTGTCCCTAAAACCCCACCCCTAGCCTGTAATCCACAGGAGGTCCAGCTAGTGCTCCAGATAGACTTTCCCAATTCCAGGTTACCCCAGAGATTGCCATTGTCCTATGTCCTACTTAAACTCTAAGAGAATAAGAATGGCAAATCCTGCTGTCCTTTTCCAAACATGGTCCCATCAGAAGACCCCCACTGCCATGAATATTGAGATGAAAGGTCCATTGCCTCCACACTGGAAGGTAGAATTGGTTCGATGCAAACAAAATATAGGGTTCTGAGTTTTGCCCCTGAAGAATGTCAGAGAGGGGCCCTGTTGTGAATACTCACTGAAATGGATAAGCCAATCCCAAAGCTCTCCTGCCCTGGTGTCAGGCACCTTTCATGTCTTCACTCCTACAGGGTTATTAGCCACATTGTGTTGTAGGAGCTCTCTCACTTACCTGCTCCAGGAAGCAAAGGGTGACTGTGATCAGGCAGATGTCAGTGGTCCTCCTGGCAAGTTAACCCTCCCACGGAACGGGTCCAGCCCTCAGGCAGAGACAATTACCTCTGAGGTTCTCCAAAACTGGTTCCATGCCCGGATTGCTCCAGAAGGAAAGAAGGGAGTTGTGCTGGGTGGGGGTTGTCCTAGGAAGAATCTAGACGGAAGGAGGGAAGAGGAGCTAGGAAGGAGAAGGCAATCTTGCAGGGTTTTCTGCTCCAGTCCTTTCCTGCTCAGAGCTGTGTGATTTCTGAATAAAGCTGGTGGCAGGGCCCCAGCCCCAGCAGGAAGGAATTTAGGGAGAGCTGCTATCACTTTCTATTCCTGGAAATGACTCCAGTTCTCAAAATAGGCCTAAATCAGTTTCACTTTCATCATTCTGGAGGGTGGGGGCACTGCAGCATTGCCTGTGGCTTATGCAGGGTTATTTGAGCACCTTCAGCCCAAGGCCCAGGGGAGTGTGGGAGTGCTCTGAGAACAGCTGCTGCATACCTGAGAATCTTACTCAGATGCCAGCATCCAGACCAGTGAGAAGTCCATATTCAGCCCCCTTGAGGCTGGCCCCTCAGATGGGTGCAGACACTGCCTACAAAGTTACTCCTTGGGGTTGTCCAGCATGCCCAGATCAGGGGCTAACTCGCTTCTGCCCACAGATATCAGTCTGCAGAAGTTACATCCATGGTGGAGTTCTCTTCCTGGCCCCAGCTGTGCCCTTCCCTGGTGTCAATATACCTGCCCCAACCAAGTGAGGGTCTGAGCTCAACACAGCTCTCTACTGACTTGGTGACTGCTTAAACTCTCAGGGAGTGTCACGTCCTCATCCTCATATGGGAACAGCAGTGAAAGTTCCCCAGGGTGTTTGTGTTCAGAAGAGAGGCCCCAGGGAGGGGGCTATGTGGCTTCAACAGGGTGAGAGAGAAGGTCTGTTGTACAAAGTTTTTGCCAAGATTGCAAATGTCTATAACAAGTTATGAAAACCTTCTCTGGCTAAGAGATTGTGAATTTGTCATTGCCATCCTTGATTCTTCCCCTGGGTCATGAAAGGACAGCTGACAGGTTGTGGAGAGGGAAGGCAAGGATCATTTTAGTGAGCCTGTTACAAGGGACATGGCCAATAATGAGGGCTGCGCATGGTCTAGGATAATCTGAGAAGAAAAGGAGGTGGAGCTGCCCTTCTGTTCCTGACAACACGGACAAGGTAGAAGCCTGGCAGGTCTGAACTATACTTGCCCCAAGATCCCAATGGGGACATCAGCATGGGTCTTCATTGGACACCATTGGACCCTTCTTCCTGAGGGACATTCACCACACCAGGCCATCAGCTGGTTTGCAAATGTCCTACCTGAGTGAGTCCTTTCCTACACTTGTGTTCCCCTATGCCATGCTCCTCCATGTAATGGGGGCAGTGGGAGGAAGAAAGAAGAGAGAAGCTGACTCTTTTCCTGTCCCGGCTGCAGGTCTCTCACTGAGGTGGAGGAGGGTCTGAACCAGGCTGGGGAGATTTCTATTCTACAAGTCTGGAGATTGTATATTACACTGACTGGACAGCTACTTTTATCTGAGTGGGACCAGGAGAAGAGGGATTTCTAAGCCACTCATTCTTCTCCTTTTTTTAAAGATTTTATTTATTTATTTGACACACAGGGAGAGATAGTGGGAAAGAGAGAGAAAGCACAAGCAGGGGGAGCGGCAGGCAGGCAGAGGGAGAGGGAGAAGCAGGCTCTCTGCTGAGCAGGGAGCCTGACGCGGAGCTCAAACCCAGGACCCTGGGATCATGACCTGAGCCGAAGGCAGCCGCTTAACTGACTGAGCCAGCCAGGTGCTCCTAAGCCATTCATTCCTAAGAAGAATTGATATCCCTTTCCTCTGAACAGAGAGAATGCAACAACATCCTTATAAATCATACTTCCTCATTTCCTAATGGTGACTTAGGAGCAGCAAGTCTGACTCTGGACCTTGAGGTGTGCATACCCGGGCTTCAGTGCCAGACCCATGCCTGCATAGGACACTGCAGGCCTCAGCCAACCAAACAGAGCACCAGCTCCAGAGTGATTCTCACACACTCCTGGGGAACAGATTAGTCCTGGTGAGCCCCTGATGGGAGCTTTCTCTCACCCACTACAAAAGGCCCCATCACTACCAGGGTACCTGAGTCTCAGAGGTATTTCTTACCTTACTACTGACAGCTGTAATTGGCTGTCTTCATGTGGTCATCTGCATCCACAGCCAGTTGTCAAGTTCACATGTGAGCTTGTATCTTTGCCTTACATTTGGTTCTACAAGAATTTCAGTCTCTCTTGTCCCTTATTTCCTCTCTGAATGATTTCTCAGTCTTTCTCCCATTATAGCAGTGATTGTCTCTGTATGTCAGGCAGAGAATATTTCTCTGATGTCCTCAAAATATGGCAGGAGGGAGAGACTCAGGACCAACTACACACAGAAGAATAGACACAGCAACAATCTGAAAAGAACTGAGATATTTCTCTATTTTAAATCTTTTACTTACTCATGTAATACAGTGATCACCTACACACCGAAAAATCACCCCCAAGAAATAGAACATCTCTAACAACTTATACCTCCCTCTGTGTTCCTATTCACTCTAGCACTGTCTACAGCCCCTGGGTGACAATGTCATGCAGTATGTGTTTATGATTTTTTTATTTGTGGTGTTATCACTTACATATGTATGCCTAAACAGTACATTGCTTAGTTTTCTTGAAGCTTTATTTAAGGAGTATTCTATGTGTTCTTAATATTTAATCTCAACACTATACTAAAAGATTAAGTCCTCTCTATATAACTATGGTTCATGCCTTTCAATGCTGTGTGTTATTTATCCTTTCTCTGTCAGTGCCTATCCTCTCCGTTTTCACAGTTATGAAGACTGCTGCTCAGAGAACACGTCCACATGGCCTCTGCACATTTTTGCAGAGTGACTCTTTGGTATAGGGTGAGGAGTGGAAATGTTGAGTCCTCAGGTGCATGAATGTGCCATTTTATGATTCAGCCATATTGTTTCTTCAAAGTGATTGTATTGATTTACATTCCCAGCAGCCACAGTTCAGAGATTCTATCAATCTACAATCTCACCAGTACCTGATTTTTTCCGACTTTTAAAATTTTGCAATTGAACTAATTAACAGTGTCATCTTGTAGTGCACAGAGGTGCATTTTTCTCATTACTACTTAATCTGCAGTATTTTCTCTATTTTTTTTGTCCAAATATATTTCTTTTTTTAAGAAAGTTCTATTCATGTCTTTTGCCCATTTCCATGCTGAATTTTTTTCCCTTTTCCCTAGTGATTTCTGGAATCTTTAAAATCCTTCCTTCCATCAATCCTTGGTTGGCTACATTTGTGCAAATATTTTCTCCAGCTTCGTGGATATTTTTTTTAAGATTTTATTTATTTATTTGAGAGAGAGAGAATGAGAGAGAGAGAGAGCACATGAGAGGGGGAAGGGTCAGAGGGAGAAGCAGACTCCCCGCCGAGCAGGGAGCCCAATGCGGGGCTCGATCCATGGACTCCAGGATCATGACCTGAGCCGAAGGCAGTTGCTTAACCAACTGAGCTACCCAGGTGCCCGCTTTGTGGATATTTTTAGACTTTCTTTTTGCATTTGATTCCATAAAGAGAAACTTCTCATTTTTATAGAGTCAAAGGTATCACATTGGTCAGTCTGTTTTATACAGCTGTCATCTTGGTATATTTACACAGGTATCATCTCCTTTAATAAATCTTTCCCTAAGAACAGCTATGTTCTCTTCTTCAGTTCCCACTTGAAATTTACATCTTAAGTCCATTGGAAGTTGATTATCATAAGTGATGGAAGTAGAGATTCAGTAACTTCTGTCCCTATGGAGAACCGTTTAGTCAGCTCCATTTACCACACAGTGCCTTCTATACCCACTGACATCCCATGTACTTCTCACAAGCAACAGAATTCCACACATGTCTGAATCCTATACAGGGCTGTACTTTTCTGTGGGCCAGTTGGTCTACACCTGTGCCAGCATTCAACTGTCTTAGATACTATAGCAGTGAAACAAATCTTAAAGATCCTCTTGCAGATCCTTATAGATATAGATCCTCCTATGTTCTTCTTCTAAAGAAATTTTGGTATTTTCCTCTTGATCCTCCATATAAATCTTAGAATCTAGGCACCTTCCTCCCTCTTTGTGTCCCCTTCCCTGGTATTTTACCAAATTTCCCACAGAGTCCCTCCTGGTAGTTTAAGTTGTTCATGAGTTGTTCCCATAAACTGCCAGGGAAATCTATGCCCAATGGTGATGATGTGGCAGCCAGCAGCAGGGCCCCTAAAAATGAAAGAAACAGAAAGACAGAGAAAAGTCCTTCTTCCTGATGGGAAATACTTCCCATTCACTGAAAGCTTTGGAAACTTGCCCACAGCCTTCCTCCTTGTCCCCAGGGCTTGCATGGGCGTCTTGGCTAGATGACTACACAGGGGTCATCTGAGACCTGTCTTTCATGGTCCCTGGTATTCTTCTGCCCTCCCCCCACTCCCTGAGCCACTGAATTCATAAGATCTTCATATTTCTTTTCCTGGAACTGCTTGTTTTGTGGAGAAACAACAGTTTCACTTTCATGTCCTGTAAATCTGGGCCTGCAACTGTCAGCCACGGTTTCCTGAGGGGGGGCAGTGCTCATGTCAGAGGCTGTCATCCTTCCTGTTGTTTTCACACTTTCCTAGGCAGGACAGAGGCTCTCCAGCCCCTTCCTCCATTCAGTGACCTCAGGAGCACTCAGTGCCTGCATTTCTCAGGGAGGACATGTCTGTGGAGTATTCCTATGTCAGGGGCTCCAGGTATACTTCACTAGACTCAGCATTTTCTGTTGTGTTAGTGGAAATATTTGTGATCTCTGACATCAGAAACCTCTTTTCTTCTTGGAGCTGGTGAGTGAACAAATTATGTATGTGCAGTGATGGGATACTGGCTTTGAACTTGGAGGACTGAGCAGTAAGGTCGGCAAGTAGAGAGCAAAGATTTCATCGAGCTGCTTATGCCATCCTCTTTGGAGAAGAGAGAACCATTGTCTGAAGATACCTTTTTAAAAATGTGAATGTTGTTGATGCAAAAGTTGGGTATTCATCCTTTTTGATGGCTGAGTAGTATTCCATTGTATATATGGACCACATCTTCTTTATCCATTCATCTGCTGAAGGGCATCTCGCCTCTTTCCACAATTTGGCTATTGTGGACATTGCTGCTATGAACATTGGGGTGCATATGGCCCTTCTTTTCACTACATCTGTGTCTTTGGGGTAAATACCCAGGAGTGCAATTGCTGGG